TCCACTTCTTCTACATTTATACCTAAAATTCTAGGAACGCCCTGAAATTTGGGTTTTGAAAAAAAAAAAACCAAACCGAGTAACCTCTTATTAATATGCAAAATAAGAGGTTATCAGCTTATAAATTTTAGTGGCCAGCTAGCTTAGAGCTAGGAGGAATGTAGGCGAGAGTAGGTTATGGTGGTGAGGGGCAGGCAGGAAGAACCAGCTAGAACTGCCCTACCACCTCCTGAGCCTGAGATGCCAGGAGCCAAAGAGATGTTCCCCACCACACCTATAGAGGAAAATATGATTTACATTATCATAAAGACATGCCATAGGTACTTGCTACTGTGGCAAGAGTTTCTCGGCTTCGATTTATAGACAGTGATGCAAAGTCTTCTCTTAAAATAAGTGTCTATAAATACAAATGAGTTCTATCCTGTGACGTATTATACAAGCAGCGCACAGAAATCACTTTGAAGATATCACAATGGTGGTATGTGAATGAGGAAAGTCTGATATTAAGCCTGCTGTTTGGGGGTTCAGAAGAATTAGATAAAAGGCACGGTTAGCTACTGTGTTGTAGAAACACAGCAAGTATTAAATAAATGCCAAATGCTATCACTTAGAATTTATGGCAGGTTGTTCCAACTGTGTACAGTTTTCACTGTTGTTTCTGATATGTCCCTAACTGGGCTGGTTTTTCCCTCCCTGTTACGTATTAGATAAAATGGGTTCAGGGTATTAGATAAAATGGGTTTTAGTCCCTAGCATTCGTGTGTGGTTGAGATTTTGTTATTGATCACACCCCTGTGATTGCTTACTAATCACATACATGACGTGTAGCAGGTATCGTTCAAGCCATTAGTTAATCACAAAGACTGGGAGCAATGACTCCTGTCTGGAATCACAGCATGTAGGAGGCTGAGGCAGGAGGATTGTGAAGGTTCGGGCATCCTGAGCTATATGGTGAGTTCCAGGCCAGCCTGGGCTACAGAGTAAGATCATAAGTTATGAAGAAAATCATAACTCTATGGAGTGTCACTGGGTTTAACAACCACTTCTCCATGCTCCAGAGAGCTTGGCCTACACAAAATGTGTGTGTGTATGTGTGAGTGTGTGTATGTGTGTGTGTGAGTGTATGTGTGTGATGTGTGTGAGTGTATGTGTGTGAGTGTATATGTGTGTACGTGTGTGTGTGAGTGTATGTGTGTGTATGTGTGTGTGAGTGTATGTGTGTGATGTGTGAGTATATATGTGTGTGTGTGTTAGTGTATATATGTATGTGTGTGTATGCGTGTGAGTGTATATGTGTATATGAGTGTGTGTGTGTGTGGGTGAGTGTATGTGTGTATGCGTGAGTGTATGTGTGTGTATATGTGTGTGTGTATATGTATATGTGTGTGCATGTGTGTGTGAGTGTGTGTTGGGGGTGATGGGGGCTTTTTGTTTCATTTTGTTTTATTTGCCTATTGTTTTTTGTTTTGTTTTTGAGGGTTTTGAGGGTTTTTGTTTGAGAGAGAAAGAGAGAGAGAGAGAGAGAGAGAGAGAGAGAGAGAGAGAGAGAACATGAAGTTGGGTGAATAGCAAGATGATATGGGAGGAATTGAAGGACGGAAAAACATGATAAAAATATGTTGCATAAAAAATTTCAATAAAAATGTTTTGAAAAGAAAATCATTAAAAACAAAAATAAAATAAAACAAACAAACGAAAAACCTAGAGAAAATCTACAATCAGAAAGATCTTCAGACTGGGTATAGAAACACTTTGGGAAACTTGAGAAAACTAGTCGTTTTCAATTTTTTTTGTGTGTGTGTCACCCAAAGCTCTGTTTAAAGAACTCTTATGGGAAGCCTGGAAACACCCAAGAACAAGGCACAGAGACCGACCTGATAAAAGAGGGGTGGGTGTATCCTGGACACGTACACCCCAGCTCACCAGTGCTTGTGTCATTTTAAAAGCTGACTCTGGGCACGGTTTTGTTCTTAATCTTTGTAGAGATGGCTCTTTGTGTGCTCAGCATGGTCAAAAATATGTATTTTTAAATTAATTAATGCACGGTGACTATACAGTTACATATACTTATGGTCTCGTCCATCCCCCTTTGTTTTTCTGAGGCAGGGTTTAACTGACCGGAAACTTATTATGTTTGCTAGGCTGACCTTAAATTCAAAGAGATCACCTGCCTCTGCCTCCTGAGTGCTGGAACTAAATCTCCTTTTTACATTTTTGAAAAACAATTTCTTGCCAGGTACAATCATGACATTTAATACATGCTAGTGATATATACTGATGGGTCAGGGCCACTGGCGCTATTAACTCAGGTGGCATTCTTGCTTTGTAACAAAGTGCTCAAAAATCTCACTACTAATTTGAAATATCCAATTCATTGTTAACTATGGTTATCCTACTGTGGCAGAGAACTCTAGAAGCCATTCCTCGTATAATCTGCATCCTGAAAGTATGGATTAGAGGTCACAGACTCCCTTTGACAGTATTTCAGACGTGTCTTGCCGAAGAGCCAAACATATATTCATAGGTATGAATAAATACACGAGAACATATATAAATCCAGGGGAAACACCAACCCAAGAGCCAAGGCTATAAATCCCATCCAGAACCTTGAGTTTCTGGCATATTGATCACTGCACAGCCCCAAGACCCAGAAAGACCCCTGGTGCACACCGGATAAACAAACAAAAGAATGAATAGAAAAGTTTGTCACAGGAACACCTGAGAGATGGAATTAATGGACCACGGGGAGGGGCACGTTTTCCAAGCTCTCTGAAGGAGCTGTTTGGAAAACCAGCCTGAGCGGTGGAAAGGACATGCTGACCTGAGTGTTGGGAGCTCCAGTGGCTCACACCTGGGGTTAAGAGGTAGCCAAAGAAATGCTAAAAAAAAGAAAAGACAAGACAAGACAAGAAAACTGGAGGACTCCAAGAAGGAAAGACAATGGTGGTGGGTGGGACTTGGGAACTCAAATGAGTCAAAGGTGATTTGGGATTTGATCAGGGAGCTGCATGGAGAATTGGCACGGTCACAGTAATTATCAGAATAATGGTCAGGCATTAGCCTGAGGTGTGTCTAGATCAGCCCTCAGCTCTGTAGACATAACTCAGACTAGGCAGCTGCTGTGTGTCCTGGAGAAGGAGGCAGAAGAGCGACAAGCCTGTGCTCCGGATTATCCCACAGGCTTTGCCCAAACACAAGCCTGTGATGGACCTCGGCCAGCGGGGGATGGGAAGAGGGACAGCTAAGTAAGTGTTCCTGTTTCACACAGTGCTATGTTCCACACCCTGCTCCTCCTCCCGCTCCACCCCAGGCCATCCAACCAGGCACCCAGATGCTTTCATCTTTTCACCAAGCTTCTGCAGCCACTAATCGTTGGAGAATAAATCTTGTCCTGAATACTTCTTGTCCCCAGGCCCCATGGCGTTTATTTGATGCCACTCTGTCTGGTGGCTCAACGGACAGATGTCGGTTGTTCTCATACGTGGACGAAAAGAAAGAATACACCAGTAAAGAAAATGGAAAGAGATCAAGGAAGACAACTTCTCTCCTATGTATACCCAGACACACATCCACACATACCCCGCACATCCCAACACACATATATGTAAGCATGCACAACACACACACACACACACACACACACACACACACACACACAGAGAGAGAGAGAGAGAGAGAGAGAGAGAGAGAGAGAGAGAGAGAGAAAATAAAAATAAAATTGAGAAAGTTGCCCTAACTAAGGGAGCAAATTGGGAACAAATTACTTTTTAAATTTTTTGAGGATTTTATACCTGAATATTGTGTTGTATCATTCCATCTGTCCCTTTCCTCCCATGTCTCCCTCCACAAACCCCCTCTTTATTATTGGTGTGTGTGTGTGTATGAGAGAGAGAGACAGACAGACAGAGAGAGACAGACAGACAGAGAATGAGAAACTGAGCCCATTTAATGTTGTTTTTACATCTGTGGGTTCAGGGCTGACCACTTGAGATCAGACAAACTATCGGGGGAGAAAATAATTCTCTCTTTATCAACAACCATTGATTGACTGTAGCTCTTTATCTAGGGATAGAACTTTGTGAAAATTTCCCTGCTGCCGGGTCAACTGGACTCATTATTGTTCAGGTCTTTTTTAAGCCACCACACTGTTGAGATTTTGTGGGTGTTGAGATTTTGTTGAGATTTTTTTCTTCGTCACATTAGAAGACACAGTCTTACAGAAGACCTCCTGGCCCTCTGGCTCTTACAGCCCTGACCCTTCTTCTGTGATGTTCTCTGAGTCTTTGGTGTAGGGATTGTGTTATACGTAGATGTATCAGTTAAAGCTAGGCACCACAGATAACTTATTCTCTGCATTTTGACCAGTTATGAGTCTCTATAATTGTATAACAGCTGCTTCTTTGATGATAGGTAAGAGCTACACTTACCTCTGAGTGTAAGTATTTAAAGTACCGATAGAAATTCCATTGGTTTAGGAAAACGGCAGCAGTAGGTTCTCCTATAACGTCTATGTTCTTTCCAGCCAGGTTAGGTTTACAGTTCCAGGCATGGATTGCATCTGATTGAGTAGCTAAGTCCAATTACACAGCTGTGGTTATCCCCAAGTTACAAGCGGGGATGTCTTGCTCGGCTGGTCATTGCTGTGGTTCACATGCATCACAGTTTGGTAGGATTACTGATTGGCTTTCCCCACTGGTAGCTTGCATACCACCTTCAGATATTATGAGAGTTTGATCTCAGGGAGGAAGCGTATAGGCCATTTCTGCCTCGATTCCTCCATGTTCTGTGAGACTCCACTGACAAAAATAAAAGTTACTTCTTTATTGTTTCAAACAGTTATTTTAAAGCACATCAGAAGAACCAAATCACACTAGACCAATATGCGCATTATAAATAATTCTCATCCATCCCTAAAAGCCTTTTATGTTTTTTACTACCTCACTTCAGACTCTCAGTATTGCACTGCAATCCCTTGTGGATTTGAAGGTAATGAAATGGCTTTTCTTAAACAAATATCCTAGGAGTCACTAAATCGAGACTCACCTTTTACTCAGACCTAGCTAGAATCGAATGCATTTTGTGCAGCTCCAACCTGAGCATTTCCTGTAGCCATTTCAAAAACCGTATTTGCTCAGTCTTATCAGTCAGGTGTTCAGTCATGCCTCCTTTGTATCAGGCACCTCAAGGGCGGGAGAGAACACACGTGGGTTTGTATTTTACTAGCTGGGAATATGTCTATGTGAGGTTCACTGTATTTGCTGGATGTCAGATGCCGGGAAGGACAGTAAAACATTGTTGGGATCCTTGGTGTTTCCAAGTAGCTGGGATGGTTGTGTCATCTTTGCAGCACTGAGATTGTGCTGTGATGTCAGTCTGGGAATACGTGGGAGTGTGCAAACGGAGTGGGGATGGGTGATTGTGGGTTGTACCAGTTGGACATGTAGTAGGGATGATGAAGTGGGTTTCCAGAGAGTCTATATGCATAGACAGACATGGTATTTCTTTCCTGCTATAGTAATTCCAGGGCTGAGATTTCAGATCTACTTTGGTCAGTAGCAATTCTTTTCTTTTTTTTCTTTTTATCATTTTTAGCAAAATCTAGAAAATACAGAAATATACCAAGAAGAAAAAAAATTAAATAACCCTAAATTCTATAAATCATAATGGCTGATTGTGATTTTGATATATTTCTGTGTGCCTCTTCTTTGTCTCTCATCACACAAACACATTTTTAAAAAGCAATCTTTCGTATT